GTGATCTTCTCCCTTTCTCTTCTATCATATTTGCTTTAGAGATCATTCCAAGGGTTCTGCCTTCTACTGCCACCCACCTCTTGTTTAATCTCTTCCTGCTCTATGCCAATCCATCCCTCCAATATTCTGACCTTTCTTGACCCTTCCCCACCCTCCCTTACCCTCCCTAACCTACAGAAACTATGGCCAGGCCCAGGGGCCATGGTGGCAAAGGCAGACACTCTGTTCTGCTCACAAGGAGGACCCCTTCTCAACCCCAGCAAACACACACTCTTATTGGGTGGATGGAGCGTCTTGTGCTGCCTAGAGAGAAATTAAATTACCATTCAAGAGTTAGTCTCTGAAGACTCTCAGTTCATCTACATTCTGCCCACTACTCCCTGGCCCCTCTTTTCCATCCACCCTGCCCTTTGTCCAGGGAACCAGAGCCCAGTGGCCCAGGTGAGGATGGCAAAGGCAACCACGTGGGGTTTCAGTTGTAAAAAGGGGCCTCGTGCAGGGATCACATCCCACTTTCCTAGCCCTACAGTCTTCGGTCCACTCAAGGATTGTGCTTGATGTTGGGAAGAGAAACAGAAGTGATCACTCACAAAGGCTCAGTCTCTGCTCCCCCTACACACACACACACACACACACACACTCCAACCCCAGTACTCAAAAGAGACATGTGGCTCTCCCTGGGGTCAGGGACCTATGTCACAGCAGTGAGATGAGGAGGTGATGGAGGGGCCTGGCTGGGGAAGGTTTCCCTGTGGGTTTGTCGGGGCTGAGTTCCAGCAGGGTCTTTATGGGTCAAAGAGGGTCAAGGTGCCCCTATGTTCATAGCAGCACAGTTTACAATAGCTAAGATTTGGAAATAGCGTAAGTGTCCATCAGCAGATGAATGGATTAAAGAACTGGGGTACAGCTACACAATGGAATCTTATGCTGGCATAAAAAAGAAGAAACTCTTACATTTGCAACAGCAAGAATGGACCTGGAGAGTATAGTATTATTCTAAGTGAAATAAGCCAGACAGAATAAGATAAATATCATGTGACCTCACTCATTTGCAGAATATAATGAACAACATAAACTGATGAACAATAGAGCCAGAGACATAGAAGCATCAAACAGACTGTCCAACCTCAGAGGGAAGGCAAGGGAGGCTGGGGGGTAAGAGATCAACCAAAGGAATTGTATGCATGTATATAAGCATAACGCATGGACACAGACAGTAGGGGAGTGAGGGCATGTGCTGAGAAGTTGGAATGGCCAGGGAGAGGTTAATGGGAGAAAAAGGAGACATATGTAATACTTTAAGCAATGAAGAATTGAAATTTAAAAAGGGGAGGTCAAGGTCTAAGCACTATGGCCAACTCAACTACTATAAGGGTTTTCTGATCATCATCAGCAGCAGCAGCATCATTATCATCACCTGTGATGTGAAGAGTGCCTAGGTGGGATAAGCCGGGTCAGCAGAGCAGGGTATCCCTGCTGGAGCCTATTA